ATTCCGTTACAACCCTCCTAGGATGTGAAACTCAGATATCAGTGATTCATGTAACAGTATGAAGGTAGAGATATCACCTGGCCATGCTCATTTCCCTTTCATAAAATAGCAAGCTTACCATTTCACGTGCCCCAGCACTTGGATAAGTAATACGTAGGTCGGACACTGCATCATGAATGGTCTCGATGGTGTGACCCTGTTGATGGGTTCATTGAAGACCCATATTTTTCTGAATCTTGAGAAATGAGGTAAGGCTAGCGTACAGTGAGGTTAAATGTCAATAACTAGAGATCTGGAACACTCACCCAATGCCATAGTGCATTGTGTCAATATGTTTTTGAAGTTCCTGAACAATCTGCCGATCATTCTGATGGGCCTTCCAAAGGTGAAGAATGTGAGGTGTGATAACCTCCAGTGGCGCTACTTCAATAGTTCAGAATGCTGAGAGTCAAGTCAAAATAAAGAATTGGTATGGACATGTGGGTTCGTTCTGGTTGGGCATCACAACATGCACTCAACAGCTTCAATTGTCAGTCTATATGTATTGTCAAACACATTTTGGACTTATGTAGTTCGTGCACATGCAACAGTCCAACTCGGGCTCAATCTGCCTCGCATTTCCCAGGTGTGATGGTCTGAGTCTACTGTGATTCTGCATGTTGGACTTACATAATTCAGAAGTTCATGTAATGGTCCAACTCGGACTCAGTCTGCCTCACATTTCACAGGTGTGACGGTTTGAGTTTACCATGATTCTCTATGTACCATCAGACATCCAACCACGAAATAATATTGGTATACAAAAAATTATAATAAGCAAAATTGCTATAATAAGTACAATAATGATAAGTCACATTGTGAAGCCTTACATGGTAGGATAGACAAGGTAGGACTCACCATCTATGTAAGGATGAGGCATTAAATATATTGAATTTCCAACATATACCTAGCCTTGTAATTGTGACCATTTATTAGCCATAGTCCCTTGAATTATAATGGATGCTTGCCCTGACAGAATTCACAAATATCACCATAATGGCAGGGATTATGCAGGAGTATCTGCATGGCAAGAAAGTTAAGTGTTCCAATCATGATTGTTACGACTTGGATGGTATCTGTTGGCGACGCTCAAACAGAGCGTGTGTCGTCAATGGTCGAGGACGTCCTTGGGCTAGCCCAAGGTTAGGGGTCTTACTTGGCGAGGCTTCGGCAAGTAAGATTTGACGCCTATGTCCAAATCAGGTAGCTTATGTCAAGCGGGTGTGAGACGATAAGCTAAATCGGCCAAGGCTTACGACACCTGAAGGTTAATCGTAAGATCGTCATTAATTAGAAGGACAGAAGTCCGACTAGTTAACAGGGGCTTTGCTCATCGACGAAGTCGATGAGTAAAGATCGAGACTATAGGCTTATCCGTGAAGAGCAGATAAGAAGATAGAATATAGACTGCTGGCGAGGCAGAAAGGATCACTCTGGTGAGAGTAGGAGGTCAAGAACCAAGTAGATTCAAGTTAGGGAATATAGTACATGGTAGCGAGTTTATATAGAGGACAGGAGACGTATTAGTGGATGATAACTCGTACTACCAAGTGAGGCAATCAATAAAGGGTATAACCATAAAAGGAAAGCACATTTGCGTTGAGACACGGGCGAGGCAGAACGTGCTGGATAAGAAAGTGAGTCAAAGGTCGAAATAAGAAGTGAAACGCACAGGGGCACGATCGTGCAGCTGCGGAGCTATCTATAAGTCGCATGTGCGACTGCGCACTGAGTCAGAGATCAGGAAAGGGAAAAGGCCAAAGGGGATGCGTCGTGCATCATATCATAGGTTACCGTCCAGACGGTAAGGGCAAGGCTGTCCACAGGATCAGTCAGGTGGTGGAACGGAGCATGGGTATGCTTCGTCAACGAAAGGATCCGGCCAGATGTACTGGCTCTGCTGAAGCGACAGGTAGAGGGCGAAAGGGAATGCGAGGATGACAAGGATGACCAGGGTAAGGTCGGGGTAAGGGTATGATGCGAGGGCTGATACGAGGAGGATTAGGAGAAAAATGGTAGGAGCCCAAGTGTCTAGATGTTCTTGTAACAATGATGCTCCATCAACTTTTAGTGTCTTCAATTATAATGGATGCTTGCCCTGACAGAGCTCACAAGCATCACCATAATGGCAGGGATTGCATGGCAGTACTATCTGCATGGCAAGTGTCACAATCACGATGTTCTATCAACTTTTAGTGTCTAAGTATATAACAAATGCCTGCTTTTATGAAGGCACAAATGAACATCAGAAAGACACCTCTCATAAAGGTGTGTCCAATGGGTATCATTTTTACAAGTATCGGCTACAAATGACCACTGGAGGTATTGAGCATCTAGTCCAGGAGGTATGAGAATTTCGATGGACATTTGAAGTGAACTTGACCGTATTTGACAGACTATCCAACTACTTGACCTTGCTTTGCGCAAAGCAGACCTATTTCTGCCCACACTGACCGCTGTTCATGAGTTCATTGTAAGTCAAAAATAAAAATAACTAAATGTCACAAATTGATAGGAGTCTTTCAGTATGAAGTTGTTCGCTCCTCTGTGGTGATTAGGAAGCAAACACAGCTTTTATAATTGCTAGGACAACCCATGTCCGTAGATCATGGAGCGTCACACGCATCCAAAGCACTGTCTCGTGTTCTTTCCACAACTACTTACTATGAGGGGAAACTAACTTCTTTCAGTACACGCAGCACCAAGGACACATTTCAGACTGTTTCAAAAGACATTGAGCACACAATGCGCACAATGGGGATGACACAGACCCACCATATGCCTGCCCTTCATATTCTTTCTCAATGAATGCTGACCCTAATAATTAATGAAAGGAAACATGCAGAGGATGTCGTCAGTTTCATTCGTACCGCCTGTGCAGATGGCCTGGCTTCGATGTTATTTTTGTGTTCTGCTACAATTTGTATATTATCTTTTTTATTTTGAATCCAATTTATGTCCTATGGATAGTTGTACTCTATGTAGGACAGTACTATCTAGTTGTATATTATCTTGTCATATGATAACTGTACTGAGTAATTAATACACATTTCTGTAAGAATGGCAACCTTCTTACAATACCTTATCCTGTCATACCATTCTGCTAAAATTTGTATATTATCTTGTCATATGATGATCATAATGAGGAATTACTACACATTTCTGTCAGAGTTGCAACCTTCTTATAATACCTTATCTTGTCATGCCATTCTGCTAAAGTTTATATATCATCTTGTCTTATGATGACCGTACTGAGGAGTTAATACACATTTCTGTCAGAGTTGTGACCTTCTTATAATACCTTATCCTGTCACACTACTTTGCTCATGCCTGTACATCATTTTATATTATCATATAACTGCACACAATATGATAAAATTTTGGTCTAATTTTGTCAACCCTATCTACAAAATAATGTTCTCCCCAATTTCCTGATGACAATGATTCTCTATCTATGCCTTTTCAGTGTTCACTGGCCAAACTTAGAACACTTGGGAGCCTTGTCCACTGGTATGTACCTCACTTAAGCTTCATGTAGGGATACAAGTATCTACAATGATTCTCTATCTAGCCTTGTCTGGTATGTACCTCACTTAAGCTTCATGTAGGGACACTCTCAACTTATCCTGTTCCTCGTTCAAGTAACTCCATTGGACTATGGCTATGACTTGGTGGAGTTTTTTGTTTTCACACAACATGTGCAATATGTTAAGACCGGGAAATTAGCATTCATATCCAATTATCAAGGTATGTACATCTCATCCATGACTTTGCTCCACTTGATTTGACATGGTATGTTTAGGGAGCACGGCACTGTTAACAAACCCTCAGATCCTGACCCACCCGTATGTATTTTTCATTTATTTCAATGACAAAGACTCAACTCAATATATTTCAATAGGTCTGTTAGTGATGGGAGTGATATTTTTGGTGATGGGAATATTGAGGCGGTTGTCAGCGAGTTTGAAAGTAAGCACATCTGCAATTTTTACTGTGAATGGGTGGGGTTTGGGCTCGAACCATTTGGGAAGAAAGATGAAAGCCTTGATGAAGCAGAGAGCACATTGAATGAGGTAGAGAGCATGAACATAACTTAGATTGATTCAGTGAAATGTACAATGGACTACTGTGAAAGAGATCTTCTTGCACATCAGGAAAACCACCGCTTACTTATCTCACTTTTTGTCTCTTAAATTCTCTCGGAGTGTTACTTTTCCGACTTAATGCACTTTCTGGAAAGCAAATTCAGAGTTCACAAGTTGGCACCATTCAAAAAAGCTCAAAAAGCAGAAAAAGTTTTGTAAGCGCAATAAGTGGGGTACACGTAGTACTACCAGTACTACTACTAAGTCCAAGTCCAAGTCACCTGTCAGCGCTTGCTGAAACTAATGACCGCAGACCACGCAGATGCAGATTTCGTCACCTCAAATGATGACCTCATCACCTGTACCCGCAACAGCAGAGCCATAGTCATCCTGACTCGGAGGGGACAGCACGAGAGTGACGAGACACGTGTTTTCATATCGTTGTTGAAATAGAGTTGAGAAGGGGGATATATTCTATGATAGCCTGTCTGACGTGCCATGACTTAGCCTCTGCAAACTCAATGATGGAGTTAGGTCTGAGCATTGCAATAAGCACTATGGAGACTCACCTAATGCGCAGAAGTTGCGCTCACCAAACTCGTCGTCTAAGCACTCCGCTCAAGCTCATCCTAGATCTGAAGTGCTTGCTGAAAAGTCGCCGCAGATCACGCAGATGATGACCCCATCACCTGTACTCGCAACAGCAGAGCCGTGGTCATATTGACTCGGAGGGGGCGGCACAAGAGTGACGAGACGCGTGTTTTCATGTCGTTGTCGAAGTAGAGTTGAGAAGGGGGATATATTCTATGATAGCCTGTCTGACGCGCCATGGCTTAGCCTCTGCAAACTTGATGACGCAGTAATTAGACCACATATGCGAGTAGCGGACAGAATGAACTTACAAGAGCGAGAAGACCAAAACACCTAGGATGCGACCTCAAAAGCATGATGGTCTGCGAACTTGTTCAGATAGAATGCTCGAAAAGCATCATATGAGTCATGGTGCTTGATGTCGTGTGAAATGATCTGTGCTCCATAGACTGGAATGAGGTGTGCGGCACAGTAAATAGAATCAATATGGATGATTCCAACAGAAAAAGAATGGTCAGTATCAAACGAAGGTGTCACAATCCACATCCCAGTGTCCTGGTCGGGTCCGTCGCTGGCTTTGTCAAACCAACGCACAACGGCACATGGATACGAAACTGCATTGAATGTGAAAGAAAAAAAACACATTACGCGCGCTATATCCATGCCCACCATCCCTTCAACACTTGCATCTGTGTTAACAAACACACAGTCATACCGGGGCGCCTCGTTTCTCCAAATAGGACAGGCATGAATATGCTCACGGCGCATACCGCCAATTCCACTGCGGTCGCTGGGCGCATAGAATGTCGAAGATGCAGAATTAAAGACTTGGATGTTCCCATCAAATCGAGGACATCTCGAAAGCGGGATTTCAGAGGGAGGGTGCTGGTCGTCTGGGTACACTTGTTCGAATAGGAAGCGGCGGAGGACATTGTAGAGATTGGGGATAGAGAGTTCCGTGGATAGCTCGGGTATAGTGTGTGCGCGTTTGCGTTCTGCGATTCTATTAGAAGAGTGTTCACTGTAAAATATGAGATAGCTTACGAGGGGTCTTTGCCAACTGGACATGGGCCTGCACCAGTGTTGGGCCATTGTCAATTTCGCCCTCTTCGTTATCACCCTGTATAGTAACATCAGCATTGAAGAGTACTGGCACCGTGGCGCTATTCTCGTTGGGTTGGCTGGCATCAGGCATCTTATTTAAGCGCAAACGCTCTAGTGTAAATTTAAGCCAACAATAAAGATGTAACTTGTTATAAAACTTACTTAATGCCTTGAGTGTGGCAGACAGACAGGTGCCGTTTAACATTCCGCGGTTCTTGAAATCAATGTGTGCTGCTGCGAGCTTATCGAGGCGCTGGTTTGTCACCAGCATCTGACCAAGGGCTTTGTAGCGACTCGAGCGCCTCCATGGCTCCTTGACAGCTTTGATGTGTTTCGTCTCGGTGATCGAGGAGCAAAGGCCATTGGGCGCACCAAAAAGTTGGATAAGGAGGACATAGTGGGAACAAGAGTGTTGCCGAGGGAGAGAGAACGTGAAGACAACACCCGTAGATTCAAATATCTCCCTGTAATGATGGAATCGGTCAAGAGCCTCCTGAATTTGACCTAAAGTAGATTCTGTAATGATGTTGCGCCGTACGAGATAGCAAAATTCGAGAAATGCGCGAAATGTGCGCACCACATCTGTTGGGACGTGACCTTCGATGGCAGGTAAATAGACCTGAATTATTGTTAGCCGAGTTGCAATATCCTAGTTAATGTGATAGTGAACTAACCTTCATGAGGGCTTTTGAATCATCGCCCGTCCATTGTTTGAATCCCCGACCTTCTGGAAATCGTCGGAGACCTGCAAATGAAGCAACCGCAGCAATTCTTTGATGATGTGAGCTTTCGAATCATCAACTCGAGACAAAGTGACGCACCTTCGATCTATATCAGCTTGAATTCTCTCTGCTTCTTTCGTACCATGGACATGTTGCAGATACTGTCCAACCCACTTGACTAGGTGATCCTTGAAGGTTCCCTTAATCAGTTTGATGCAGGATAATCCGGCGCGATAAGTTCGTGAATATCGCCGCGTGGAAAATCGTTTGTGAACGGCTAGAAAGGATTGAGTCTCAACTCCGATAGAAAAGATGCGCGAGACTTACAACAAGGTCACCAACAATCCCATACTCCATCCACAAAGCACCATAGGTTGCCTCTTCAACTAACGCTTCTGTATGGTCACGTCGACGACACAGTGACTTCGTGTCTAAACTGTCAGGATGTGACATACACCTAGTAGCATTAAGGTAGAGGGATGTTGGAGATAATTTAGGAACATACCTCGGACACAATTGCGCACTATGCACGCTAGTAGAACCTGCTCCTCGTAATCTGCAAGTATTGGTCCAAGGCCATAAATTACACGCCGATAGTGGCCGTCACCGAAGCGTACAACCTCTGGTGTGGTCATACCAGGCCTTAAGTTCTCGAGAATCTTGGCGACAGACGAATGAAACAGTTGCCGACGGAATTCCGAAATTTTGAGTCTTTTGCGTGCTCCTCTGTAGCTGCTTGACTGTGATTAGCGCAGAACAATAGTAGTAGTGTGAAACATACTTTTTGGCATAGCGAGGGAAGCCAATAATGGCAAACGGCATCACGATGTGCACGTCGGACATTATTACGAACGTTCCCGATTGATACATACAAGGGATAGTAATCGTTGGCACCAGTCGCCACTGAGGACTGTTGTCTTGTCGCTTCCGAGTATAAACCGGCACAAACGTTGAGCCGAGTGTATCCGGATCTTCAGAAATAGTTTTCCTACTGAAATTTTCAGCATGTGTAGCGACAGAAAACAATGAAAAGACAACGTACCGCTTGGTTCCATGCCCAGTCACCAGACATGAAGTCCTGCCATTGGCGTTCATCGCCATCAGGTCAAATACTCACGGTAGGGCCGATAATCCATCTCTGTAGCGTAGTCCGGAATTCCCCAACATGTTCTGAATAACCTCATGGGGGTCTCGGTACCAGACATCGTGAGATTGGTCCATCAGGGTAGTACATTGGTTTCGGGCTTCTCCCAGTGTACTGGACCTTGAGGGATTGCCATTTGACATCACCCACTGGCGTAGCGTCAATAGTTTTATACAAATCACGGTGGTCCGCAACGGAGGTTTGTCGTTGTATTTGAGGAGGGTTGCAGCCCAAAGATCCAATAAGATATTGATGTCTCCGGCAGACATTTGGTTGCGCGTGTACAGAAATTCTGCAGTCTCGAACTCGACACGATTTCGATATGGAGCCCAGTCATCGGGTGACTTGATTGGAGGTGGTGTCGGGGGCGCTCCATCTGCAAGGAATCGTCCTGTCACGTCGCAAGGACGAGCTTATATTGATATACGTGTTAGTTGTAACTAGCTGGAAGGACTTTGTGAAACATACCATTTAGTTTTGGGTGATAGTTGCGGTATAATCTATCACCCGGCCCAAAAAATTCTGCGTTCAAATTATCTGGAATGTCAGGCTCATTAAGTGCCTGACTTGGGTCAGATGTACCCGCAGGAAAATTGTCACCGCCTGCAGAGATGTTGTCATGACCTGCTGAGAAGTGGCCATCCAGTACTTCAGGCTGCTCTTCAACTGTAGTGGTGTGCGAGACGCTGGTGGTAGCAGGAGCTGGTCCGAATATTGAGTGTGAGGTGTTCCAGTGTTTTTTGCGCCCTCCCTGAGACTTGAAATGATGTGCGCAGTGTAAGTAACCGCAGGGAAACTGGAGAGAACTATGGTCCCTGCGAGCGATGGGCATCTTGACTGTAAAATAAAGTAAGGCAGAGAACTTGAAGTGCCGAACACACATACTAGTACTAGTTTGATACTATTAAACAAAAGGTGACACCCCGATTACCACAGTCGGCAGCTGTTGGGGGTGGGACTTACGACTTTTTTTCTCAACTTGAAACCCTACTTTTCTTTTCCTCTTCCGCAAAGTCTTATCCCTCACCGTCTCCCCCATCTGCACAGTCATGTCCATGACAGACGCTCCCCGGCGCACCCGCCCATCGACTGCAACTGCCCGACCTGCTAAGGTGTTGCTCGACACGAAGATCAAGAGGCGATCCCCGGCTCAAAAGGCTGCAGATGACCTTGTCATCAAAGAAGCGAGAGAAGCAAAGGAAGCAGCGCACCAAAAGGGGGTTGAGCGTATTGCTGCTCTGCAGGCTGAGATGGAGAAAGCCCAGAAGGAATTGATCATGAAAAAGGCGACTCCCGTTCGGCCCAAGCCTAGGGCCAAGGCGATAAAGCCAAAAGTGACTCAGAAAAAGTCTGTGGTAGGAGACACCGGTGGTGGTGACAGTCCTGCTGATAGTGGTATGTTGGAGGACCTAGTGTCAGAGACTGACATTGCCAGGGATGTGGAAAATAAAGCTGCAGGAAGGGGGAAAAAGATGGTGACGAAGAAAGTCGCAAAGACGTTGATAAGGGATGCCATCAGTAACATGCAAAAGAAGCTCACTGAATCATCCGAGTCAAAAGTGGAAGGTGATGATGCACGTGCTGATGGGAAATCACCGTAAGGCTTTTATCTCTCACATTACCATGTTGCTCCTCACTGAATCGACACTCTTTTTTCTAAACCTTACTTCCAGTATCAACACATCCACAAAACTTGCATTAGGTGGCCGAGTGACCAACTGGATCTCAGGGGTCAAACCTGGAAATCCAGAGCCGCTGTCATGTCCATCCATTGATAGCACTTCAACTCGAGCACCTCCGTCATCAATTTTCTCAGAGGGCAATGCTTCCTCCGCACCGACTTCAGCCGCTGAGCTTCCGACTAAGATTCCTGCAGCTTTGCCTCAAATTCCGGATGGTGTCGCAGACGATACTCTTACTGGCGCGTTTGCAGATGATATCGACGATTCGTTGGAGCGTGAGGATGCTCTCTTGGGGAGCAAGAAAAACAAGGGGAAATCTAAGGTACTATTGGCAGTGATTCATTGCCAGCATCCGAATCTACTAATTCCTTCTTTCACAGGTTGTCACGCTATACGAAGAGGACTATGATGTCGATGAGCCTGAGGCTCCACCAGAGGCATCAGACGACTCGGATGATGAGCTTATGGCTCTGTCGACACAAGTATTACCGGAGGAGCAGTACTCACAGGAGCCTAAGGCGCCATTCACACAGGAAGACAATCATATGTTCTTGAAGCGGAAAGCTAGCACCATAGACGATGAGGAGTCTTGGTGTCCTGGTCCATGGAGATTGATGGCAATGCGGAACTGGTAGAAGACGCAATCATGAGTTCTGATTCGGAGGCACCGCTCCCTGTCAAAACTAACGCAGCAAAGAAGGAGAAAATTCTGCGCACAACATATTCAGTAAGGATTCTGGCCCTAATCGCACTCATTTCTGACAATGTACAAGACATCCGTTACTGCATCTCAGGCTATAGTCGACAGCAAGCCGCCAGCTCATAAAAAGGCTAAGGTCAAATCTTCCGCACTACATGCCCGTGGTGCTCCTGCTACCACACGCCAGCAGAATGCAGATACTGCACCAGACAACATCAAAGCACGCAGTGCCTATCGCAACAGTTGACCTACCTCCAGCGATGCAAATGGATCAGCGCTGGCGAAGAATTTTATCCCTACCATAATGCTGTGGGCCGGAAGCTATGAAGATATCTGGAGTATTCCTGACGAGGTCCTTCTCCATCATGCGCAGCTTGTTCTTAACGCAGTGTACAACGATCTCGACATAGTGGTTGTTCACGGGAGTGGAGTTATACATTCACTCGTAAGTCAGCTGTTTAATTCTAGGTTTAGCGACCTGAGCTAAATCTATACAGACTGCACAGCGCATTTCAGAGTGGCGCAGCAATTTTGGCTCCACAGGGCTAGTCATCATCATGGACTTTTTATCACGAAATTCCGACGTGAATCCTGTCAAACTGGCCAAATCTCTTAATGTTGAATGGGCATTCTTGTTCGAGGACCCGGACAATCCATCTCCACTTACTGCATACCGCTCACCCTTTGTACTGCAGTTATTTGGCACAGCACACCTCAACGCCATCACCGGTTATGTGCAGGTTCCCTCATTCGACATGTGCGCACTTGCAACAAGTGGGATGTTACGGCCTCTTGCTCTTTCTGCTGCAGCGGTGAGTTCAACCTATAATGGCTTAATCATGCTCATTTTTTTCAGATTGAGCGCGCTGTCTCCATGATCGCAAATGAAGTACTCGAAGTTCAAAATGTTCTGTCATCCGCATCAAGAGGTCGGGTTAGCATCAGGCTACCGAAGGTCCTCAACAAAGTTACTGGGAAAAAGACCAACATTCCGTTTTTATTTTCGGCAGCTCTCTGGCTTAAACCAACTAATTCGTACATCAAATCTCTGTTAGGCAAGCCTGCTGGGTACCTCGAAACTACAGTACAGATGGCGCGTACCACCTTGAATGATGTCACTGAAACACCGTTGGGCTCGCTGATCGACGATGACGAGTCGGAGGATGACAAGCGTGCTATGATTTGTAAGTATTTATCATTCAGGCGCCCTCTCACTGACATCCATTGTTGCAGGATTTTGTTTTTGTTGCAGCACCTGCCAGTGCATGAATTTCGCTGTCCTGTGGTTGTTTTCTGCCGTATATCATGTTTTCCGCCAGCTCTGCTATCATGTTTTCTGCCGCTGACTGCTTTTTTGCCTGCATGCCCACCTTTTCCCCCATTCCCCCAGTTCCTTATGTTACTGAGAGTCTCCTTAATTTCATGCTTATCACGCTTTCTATGTATCCTCGTTATCCTGCTATCAAATGCTTAAACCGCTTTTTCTGCTTATTTAAGTGAATTAAGTAAAAATCCAGAGGACGAGTGGGCTTAATTAAGTGGCTCGCGCTTTTTCACTCCATCGACTTATGCGTCCCTTTTCGTGTAATTAAGTGACAAATAAAGTAAAAAAAGCAACTGGTAGTTCCTGATTGGCCTCAGCATAGCAGTCTTCGGGCAATCAGAGTTTGTATAGTACTTCGAGGGTGGGTACAGGGCAAGAGACACTGCAATAATATCAGAAATGTATGCAAGTGCAACACAACTCGGACAGCAGCAATGATGCACTGATGCCAAGGTCCCACCCATGGACTCTAAAAGCCTCTGCTGCGCAATCCTGGCACTGTCTATCTGGTCCTGTGGTCCAAACAATATCTCTCAAGGCATACCAGCATCCCCAATGAGCTCCAGTGGAATTTTCGTTGCACGCGATAGGAAAAGAGCGATGGATTCTGGTAAAACAAGAGGACTTGATGTATCGTCTGATGTCTCCTTCAGTGGCTGGTAAAGTTCAATGCTGTGTTTCAGGTTAGAGGACAGTTCAATGAAAGAAATCAGCTGATGGATTGACATGTGAGACAGCATACTATTGCGCAAGATCGCCGCGAGGGCAGACAGTGAGTCCATCGTCAATATTGTATGTACGAAGACTCCCGTCTACCGAGTATCTACTTTCATGCGGAGTTTCCAGTGGTAAGCGTCTGGTTTGCAATGGATGATCGCCGGACTGATCGCCGGTCCAAACCCCGTCCTCAAACGCCGGTAATCCCATAAACCAGGCGTCCTCAGTTTGGCTGGCGCAGACCATGTTACCTTGTAGCCATACGAGGGCAGCCAATGGCATTCTCAGCGGCGTTTTAAACCTAACTCATTGAGCCCAGCAATGACCTCCTTCATGTGCATGTTCCACCCCAACTCTACCCGCTCATCAACATCAACTCTGTCGTCCTTTGATTCCCGCTGTTTTTCATGTAGCCCTCAAGCTGTCCCCGCTCCCTGCCGGGCAATAACAACTGAACTGTCATGTCTTCATTGAAGCAAACGCCTTTCTTGCTAGCTTCTCTCTGCATCTATCTGCAACTAGCATCCTGCGGCGCTGCCGTTGTTCCTTCGATCTGTTGTGGACTCGCAGCGATCTGAATAGTTGAGCCGCTGCCAAGGGTATGTTTTCACTGTGGTTGATTGATTGTAGATTAACATGACATACTATTGATGCATCAAATGTATTAAAATCGATGTATAAGTAGGATTGTGCTTTTAAAGGCTCCAAACGTCTATGGAAATAGATCCAGACAGTGAACAGGCATGAAAAACAACGACGAGCTGCTTGGAGGTGCCAGTGAGCCTGTCGAGTCAAGGTAGCGGGAATAACTTCGTGCCCGTATTCAAACGGTCATTCGGTCCATTCTTTACTTCAAATTCATTTCAACTTGCTCAGACCCGATCGCGTCTAAGTACAATGGCACGCAGAAGCTCAAGAGTCAAGATCAGCCGCTGTTTATACGAGAATCCATCTACCAGGTGCACGGCAGCGATGAGAGGAATTGAATGTATTGGTGGTCGTGGTTTACTGATCGCCATACTCCGAGGTTGAACACATGCCTCCGTTGAGGTACTATCACCGTCATCGATTAGGCGATCACAAGGACTACCCCCGCGGTGGGCGAGCAATGACAACCTTGGTCAGTCTCGCTTCCACATAATCAGTCTGTCCTGTTGCGGCACTGTGGTATCATTATGTTGGACCGCACAGTACAGGTGAGTTTACCTCGGTTGTATTGGATTATACTTACTACATATACTCACATCAAGATCGTCACCCACTGGGTGCAATGCACGTTCAAGAGGCTCAGGCTTCGATCTCAAAACACTCTTTGAACTCTGAATTCGCATCCTCTTTACTGAAGATTTGCGGATGAAAATTCTGTCTGTGAGGATCGTCGTACACTTTCACAAGACTCAGAAAATAACACCTGAATCAGAATTGAACGATTTGGAGTTCTTCGTGAGAATGATTCGAAAGCTGTTCCGGTGGGTATACGATCAGGCATTATATTAGTGGCCAAGGATTACATACTTCCCCCCATCTCATCTGTCTGTCACATCTGAATATAGGTGATATCCCTTAAAAGTGAGTTGCCAGTTGAACACCTCATTGGTTAACTTTTCCAACCTCGAGGACGGTGATGCCACTATAACTTCACCTACAACGTATGATAGGACGAAACCCAATTATGATACGTTATGGGCCGGTGGCGACATTGTCGATCATATTTGCCATACTCGCAGGGATCTCTATCTTTCTCACAGAGGTCTATTTGAACGCAAACTTCAAAACCCAAGTAAACATGGATAATAGCACGTTGAATATCTTCGGTGTCAGTGGATCCCCTGGTGTAAGCCCTATAACCATAATATCGAGACTCACGCTAACTACTAACACAGCTTGTATTGTGATTATCCTGTTCTTGTTATTATAGTCAATCTGACATATTTTAGCCTCGCCGACATGTTCTCAATCGACCTTGATGGGCAGACATTTTCTGTGTGTATCATCTTGGCATTCGTACATCCTTATCTAAGAGTTTTCAGGTTCACTGGTCTCTTGTTGGCGCCTGTGGACATCAGTATACAGGCTCATCAAACAACGCTTGTATTCAAAATCAATTCGTCAATAATGTCGCCCTGTATCTAAACGTGTAAGCGAACTTTTGCCTTTTGAATCTGAACTCACATTGGTCATTAGAAATACCAGTGTAAATTGGAACTTAACAGCCCCAATAGGCACGTTTGATTCGTCAGTGGTACAAAATCCTCCACCAGTGACATACATACCCGGAAGAAGGTGAGCTTTAATCTATGTCAATACCACACATTGATTCGAGCATCTTCGAGACAATTACCAGCAAAAGAATATGATACGGTTCTGTCCATGGATCCATTTCTTCCGTATACGTTACAGAAGCAAGTATCGACTCTTTACTACCCATTTGATCAGTAAGGACATCACTTCATTCTTCCTTATCAGTATCATTGACTCACTGCAGGCACTCTGCATATGTATCGCTGTTAGCCATTGATACTGACAGCAATCAATCACTGCCGATATCTGGCGTAATTGGATACGGAAGTATGATAAATTGGATCGGTTCTAGTGCGTTTTACCCGACTACAGCAGGGAACGAGATGTTTTATGCCCTGGCCCTAACCGTCGAGCGACAAAAAATGGTCAAGGCGTTCGCCCTCCTCCTGGTTGTCATAAACTGTGAGCATTACTACTTAGCTTGTTTGGTCCGGCTGGTTCTCATCGGACCATAGGGACTCTCTCTGTCACCATTTTATGGATGACAGTCCTAGTGCTGTGCCGTGCGAACGTCAATGACAGCCTTATCTTGACCTCGACAACAGGTGTGCGAGCCGCAGAAGATTGATAGATGCGCCACTGATAGGCTTGCAGTGCTTTTTGCACTTCCACAGATCCGGGCGAGTATGCCGGACTCTCCGCCATTTGGTAAGTACCAGCAGCCCTGTTCGTGAATTTTGTCATCCTGAATAAGATCAATAAGGCGCTTTCATTGGTACCTCGATAGCAACATTGTTTGGGAACCGCAGCTAACACACGATCCTAGATATTTCAGGTTACTTCATGAACGTCTGTCTCGTCAGCATCTGTGTAAGTCCACATGCACAAAGTGCTTTTTCGATGATTCTCACCCTTTCTGTAGACTTCAGTTCTCCTCTTTTCGCGATTACAGTATCATTATCGGCCAGTAGTTACAACATCGGTGGAACTAATGCGATCACAGGGTGCTACATTTCTTATGAATAGGGAATGAATGGCCCTACGAGTGCATATTGGATGTCGTACGTCAAGCGTAATATATATAGAAACACGGTTACTACATTAATATTTCTGCAATGATCAAACTGTGAGTTGTCGCCATTTTTGGAAGGCCTTGTTTTATGTTGCTCAATCATCATTCATGCCTCTAGGTTTTGAGTATACTGCCTTGCGCATCTCACAGCCACCTTTGATCGCCTTCTTCGCGTTCTGACACGGACTTTACCATAGCAGGGTGGTAACAACCCCAAGGCATCATTAGTTACCCTCGATGTAGGCTACAGCCTCAGCTGAACTTGACATGCTTTTGTTGACAGGCAAGGAATTCATTGCCAGAGCAGAAATCAGTGTATCCTAAATGACAAAGTACGTAGGATCTTGTTTTCTTCCCCATCCCTTGCTCGTTTGTATATGTCACGCTGATTTCCACATTTCTCAAAACAACCAGAGTTTCATCGCAGTCCTCTGGTATTTCAGTACTCGGATTTCTACGTGCCGTGCGTATTTGTTTCAATATCAATTGGTTTTGCACTTATCAGTGAGACTTTCAATAGTAAGATGGGACAATTGCGATCTATTATCAATACCATCAAAGAATTCACGTCAGACGTCGCTCTATTCCAGTGTTCGGGGATCTTCCTGGTCACCTCGATTGATTTGATTATCTCCACCACTTTTTCAACAACCTTATTGGCAAGTTCCGGTAGCGAGGGGTTTACCTGACCTCGGTGAGGTAATTGGCCTACATCGAGCTGTATCAATATGCATCCTCCCTGGTCACCCCAGTTGATTCATTTCTCTTAGTAACTTTCCCGAAGTATTTTTTCCAAAAACTCCAGCAGCGAGGGCAGTCTTTTAGACCTTGATGAGGCTATCGAGATGCTCTGTCCCTCTGGAAATTATCCTTGATCCACGCCCTTCAACCCTTGGCAACACGCTTTTTAGCAAATTCAGTAGTGGTCCCGGCACTTCATTTCAATCAATTATCAGCTAGCCCAGGTACCGAGAACCCTGATTTTTGCAATCGTCCAACTAGGCTGACCGATACAATCCGCATCCAGCACGCTGTCCTAGGCAAAGTATCTTCCTCCGCCCATATCGGTGAAAGGAGGGGTGACTATGATCCACCAAGGTTCGTCCAACTAGGCTGACCGATACAATCCGCATCCAGCACGCTGTCCTAGGCAAAGTATCTTCCTCCGCCCATATCGGTGAAAGGAGGGGTGACTATGATCCACCAAGGTTTGCCTCGCCACACTCTAGGCCTCATATCATATCGTGAGGGAAATATCGTTCCATGCTATCGCGCTTCACGCGGCAGATGAGGAGAAAGAGTCGAGGTGTCTTCAACTGTTAAACAGTGAGTGAATCATTTGGCTTCCACAAACACCTACGATGTTTCCCTGCGATATTTAAGGGCGCCTAGCATGCTACACTCGATTGTTGGTCTTCACGTTCAGACCCTTTTTCAGTGTCATGGCCGTTGTACAACAGGGATATCGTCTAACAACAATGACAATGGTTTAATGAGTCGGTATCATAGAATTGTCGTTCGTATCGCCTTCAATGCATCAAACTAGCTACTTTGATGTTTATTGATTCGATCATGACTCCTGGAATATTCTTCCCCACCCTTTGATCGCTTTCGTATCTACCCCACACTGCCTCAACATATCCCAGGTGACCGTAGTGACAGTATCAAGCACTGGAACCCCATACTTTGCCTCCCAAAACTCAACCTTATGCGCTGCTATCAGATTTGTGCAGAACGTCGAAACAGCATCTGCACCCCCTTCTACCACCTGCCCTACCAAAGTCTCCAATACGTCCTCTCCGATCAGAGCAACGTCGGTGTTCTTCGCAACGCGCAGGTGACGTTCCGTTTCCGATGTGACATCCATTCCGATGGCGTTGTAGTTCCTCACAATCCTCTGCTGGACGTCATCTAGGTAAGGCGTGACTAGCCCAAGCTTCTTGACCTTGAAAATATGCAAAGCCTTGTTCAAAGCCAATACGGAGGTAGTGGCGGGGATACCCGTAGCTTCAGTGATAGCTTTGCAGAGTTTTTCGTCATCCTCAAATCCCATCCATCCTGCTGCTGTTCCGCTCCAGCCAATCATATCAACTTCGGCATGGGCGAGTAGTTTAGCAGCTTGCGTGATGGCTGAGTGGTCGAACTGGGCAAGACCTTCGGCTGAAAGATTGATCGCCGTGACTGGGAAACGGGAGAAGTGAACGGAAACATTTGGAATGGAGGAAACGATCTGGTAAGTGAGAGGTTCCAACGCGGTATTTGAGGAAGGTGTGAGAATGCCGAGACGGATTTGTTTTGACATGCTAAAACGCTGGAGGCAGATTCACGATGTACAGAAGTTGTGAAGAAAGGCAGACGAGGAGCGACGTATGTGAGCTTGCAAAGCTGATAGGGCATTGTAAGCTAAGACGTGAGTTATAATAAATGGAAGGTCCTCCCCGACGGACGTCCGAGTCATGACCTGCTGATCTCAGCTGATTTAGGTCTCTTGTCAAGGTTCACTTGGTAGATATTCCTGTCTGCTCGTGCAATCGTTATCTCTTCTTGAGTCGCCTGACTCTCGGATGATAAAGGATCCTATATGGAGCGTAAGTAGTAGGCTGATGATTTGCAGTGATTCGGGTCTGGGAAGGACAGTAATAAGATTTCAGAGCGTTGGTATAAGCGAAAAGAATCTTCCGTAGTTGCATGGTATGTAAACCAGATACAGCTTATACCTGTTGTTGAAGGTGAGTGGTCCAGCTGGCGCCTACATACCAGACACGTGCCTCAAACTAAATCAGAAACTCTTGTGTATCGCACAGCATCGAGGAATGTGCCTCTGCTTTGTAACACAAGGACACTCATTGATAAAGGCGCGTGTCAGTGCCGTCTTTGTAACACTTTTTTCAAGCTACTCGCTTGAAGTGGGCTAAGGTTTGATTGCAATTTGATAATATGGATGTCTCACCAGCCTTGCATCGTCCCTCTTCTTGTGTTTCCTGAGCGGCCAAGCTCGAGACATTGCGAGTTGGGGACAGAAAACGGCGGTAGCTGGTGTTGTGCCATTGCTGATTACCGTTGTCGCATTTGCAGGCTGTGATTGTGAAGACGCTCAGCGAGTTCGTTCATCCAAGCTACGTTCGTGCTTATTCCAGCTGCTCTGCTTTACACTGGAAACGTCATCATCTCTTTACAACGCACACCTTTGCTTCTCTTCCTCCTGGCTACATCGGCGGGTTTCCAAGTTGCAATGTCACACAATCCGAGCGTGAAAAAGATTCTTCCTGCCAATCTCACATGACCATCCATCAACTTCGTCGTTATTGGGAGCTAGAGCCTCCGACATCCTCCTGCAGGCTACAGTAGGCTCGATGTAGACTCGTCTGGTAGTAGCTGTAAGAGGTTATGCTGTATTATTCTCGTTCGAGGGTTGAGCAACGGATCCATTAAATCCTGTAGTGCGTGGTTCAAACGTTTTTTAAACTCGAGATGACCTCATCTGAGAACATCACATGACTCGATAGTACATGATGAGTCATCCGAATGACTTCCGAATGAGACCAGGCTCATACTGTTTTCCCCTAAACTCATCCAGCCTGATACCAACTTATCAACCAAGTACTGTTACCCCTCAAACCCAACTCGTCTCGTTTGAAACTGCTTCCTTCTGAAACGACTTGATCAGCAATTATGAACTATCAAAAGGAACTTGAAGCGCTCCCAATCCCAGACTTATCGGGTCAGTCAGTAGGCGACCGTCGTTTCAAGTTGGTCGAGTTGATTGGCTTTGGTGCCTCCGGAAATGTTTATCGCGCTCTCGATACTCAGTCAAACCCATGTGATCCTGCATACTATGCCATCAAGTGCTTGCCACACATGGAACTCTCCCCAGATGGTCTCGTATGGAGGAAACGGGAGATCACATGCCACTGGTTGGCATCCAGATCCTCATCACCACAGATATGCAAACTTCACCAAATTATCGAGGAAGGACTATACATCTATTTCGTACTCGATTACTGCCCTGGTGGTGACCTCTTTACGGCCATCCAGTTGCGAACGTACGAGGGCAATGTCTCGCTCATTAAGAAAGTATTCATCGAGCTTCTCGATGGCGTACATGCCTGTCACTCCGCTGGCGTATATCACCGCGATTTGAAACCAGAGAACGTTCTCTGTGTCGAGCCCGGATTGGGCATACGTATTGCAGATTTTGGTCTGTCGACCACAAAGCTTGTCAGTCGGGAATTCAACGTAGGCAGTTGGGATTACTTCAGTCCTGGTATGGTCAGCATTCGCAGGGGGTCATTTTATCTGATATTTTACTTTTCAGAATGTAATTTCGAGACAGGGAGCCCACATTACTCGCCGCTTTACTCGGACATCTGGTCGTTGGGTGTTATCCTTGTAAACATGGTCTTAGGTCGTGCTCCTTGGGGAAGCGCAACGCCTTCGGATCAAAACTTTTGGGGATATATGAACAACCCTAACTTCCTTCTCGAGGTCCTTCCTATTTCAAGACCTTTCAATGAAATCCTCAAGCAAATATTTCACATACGAGAGTCTGCACGGATTAGCCTTCCGAGGCTCAGAGAAGAGATCATAAAACTTGATACCTTCTACACCAGCGAAGCTGAGGTCTGCAACGCCTCGGAGAACACACGAGGACCTGCTCGCGAGTATACTACATACTCTTCACATCAAGACATGGCTGCCTACAGATTTTTTGAAGCTTCTCACTGGTCATCCGACTCCTCCGCTGACAATAGAGTCCTCCAGTCTCAGCGGGATTACCACAGTTCTGCGTCGGCAGTCCGACAGCCTGGCAACGTTGCGGGGGTTGAAAGGATGTCCTCACATCTTCGCACATATGATGGCGGTCGATCTTTGTCACGGGTTTCCCTACCACACTGTTCTACGTGTTCTTTTTCTGACAGTGAAGGACCCATTACTCCAGAAACTCGGCCCCATGAACCTATGATACAGCCTGGGCAAAAAGGGTTCATGTTCTATTCTCTACCTCCTCTCTCATATATTCATTCAAGCCATTTTTGCGAGGTGCGATCAATTTTTCTCAGAAAAATCACCGAAGTTTCTGACCAGATGTTTTTACAAGATTCGTCTGCCATTATTTGGAACGGATTTTGTCACTCCAATTTGTGTGGATACTGGGGGAATGATGCAGGCTGTCTCAACGATATAAAGATTGTAGCGAAAGGACTTTTGATATCTATTCTCACATATATTATTATGCGTTGAGGTTGGAAATGTATTAATATTGAATGTGCTACTGCTAGCTGTGTCTTGAGTCAAATGTGCGTTACTTGAGACTGCCAGTGCAGTAAAAAGCTTCAAAGGCAAAGGGAAAAAAATGATCTGAGCCAGGCTCGAACTGGCGACCTTCTGTGTGTTAGACAGATGCGATAACCAACTACGCCATCAGACCGATAGAGGAAGCAAAATAAAGGGTCATTATGTCCATCTCGTTCTTGATTCTGGATGTCTCTTGCAAAGGGCCGAAACCTGAGAAAAAAGAGCCTGCAGACTTGTGGATGTTGCAGCATCATCAGCCGAATACACCCTCAGTGACCATCTGGAATAATTTGTTCGACAAGTAAAAAAACGTAGTTCTCATACGCATCATTCCTCTTGCCTATTTCAAATTAGCCTGGAAGATGGGGGCGTAGACGTCGGGGACAGCATTCGGGTTGTGGCATGGCTTGATGATAAAGAGAGTTGACCATGGTCGCAGGCTGAAATAGTGGCAGGCGGGTCTGAGGGCGCAACTCGATAACAGTTCTCCGGTATCAGATGTGGCTACTAGATAACCAAATTCTGTTCTGTCACAAGGGTGTGGATTGTATGGTCAGTACTTGGTGACCGGTGACAACCCGGTAAGACTACATACAAGGAATCAGACGCACCTAGGATCTATTATTAATAGGTCTGATCAACGCATTGCAATTTGCAAGTCGATGCGGAAACTCGCATTCCTCGGAAAACTTTGAAATATCATCATTGATATCAATGCCAGTGTTGAAGCTCTTAGCGACCTTGTCTCTGAAAGGCTTTTAGAGATAAACTACTCCACGTCGGCATGCGACGATGACACAAGATGCAGGCAGTATCAGGACGTGGAGAGAGAACGTGTCCGAGTCATGAATAGAGATAGGGTTGGTTGAAGGGATGAGACGAAGATATACCGTACTGACAGGAATTCACGAGAAAGATTGCCCTGTCGCTGAGGCGGACTCCGAGTTAAACACAAATTCAGAGGAAGTTGTGGTACCGCTATTGCAACCCTAGAAGAGATATTCACAATTCCGTTCAAGAGCGCTTTCGCACAGCCCTTCTTGATTATCTCCATGGCGTCCTCAAATACAGACTGTCTGGCGATCATCATATCTTGCGCCTCGTCAAAATGCTGGAACAGGAATTTGCATCTATTGGACCCAAACTTGGTGAGTATTGCTCAGCAGGCGAACATGTTTCGTTGCGGCAAGCTGTGGATATCTGACTGACAACGCCATCATCTTGAGCACAACTAGTTTGAACTTTGATACCATGCAATCCACATGGATATTGTGATGGGCAGTGTCACTGATGAAAATGGCCAGAGAGTGGTGCATCCGAGGTGATTGCGAACACGATCATCGGCCATGGCTGAGCGCTGAGTTGCAGGGTGGACAGAAAGTGGAGATAGCCAGGCTTTAGAAAGATTTCCTGCATTCAGGAAAAAGCCGATCATCTGGCGTTCAAGGCAAAGACAAGGTGGTCGGCTGGTATACATTCAAGTGCCCATTGCACACTCAGCAAGCCGGAACCCGGTGAGTAAACCCGTTTTCAATTCATGCCAAATTCATGCAATAAATTATGTAAACGATCGATTTTAAATTAGGGTGCCAAACGATCAAGGATTTGTTGTGATATTATGTAAGGTAATGACAAGGTGCCGATTCGGAGCTTGCCGGAGAGTCAGCACCACGCGTCCAACTGAGCGTGACGCTTGGTCTTTCTACCTTCTCGTTACTATTCGAATCGTAGTATCTGCGTATCAGAATATCTATTACTATCCTCTCGTTTACTCGCCCCTCACATTCATAATACCATACCATACGTTAGTTCGTTCCACCCCACCCACCGCTACATCCATTGATTCTTTCGCACCATCAATTCATCTTATCATCTATCCATCGTTCTTCCGCAAGGCTCCACACAAATCGCTGTTCGTTTGCCCGCCCACCCAGCGGCTCAATCCTTCAGCGTCCAGCCCGAGCTAACACTCGGACTCAGCCCAACCTCACAGGAGCCTTCGCGTCAGATCGTTTTCGTCAGTACAACAGTCGAAGTTGGATCATCACGCCAAGCCACCCAGATCATCGTATTCCTACGAACAACACCAAATAAGCGTACGCAATAAGACGTCACAGCGTACGGTCTCAGGCTGACACGTCCGACATGGGAATGGACACGAGGGCACCAAAACTGTGCACGGTGTTGTTAACCTGCCAGAGATAGAGATGCATTCGTGTGGCGAGGATCGCAAGGATAAAGACCTCCAAACTTGGGGGTATTGTCAGTAGGAATCCACCAAAGAAGATGAAGTGCGTACTCTTCAAGGAAGGAATGGTATGAGGACTACAAGTGTGAAATATCAATGATTCCATCATATTGAAGGATATCCGCAAATTTACGCACATCGGGAAATGCCAATGGCACAAAAACATTTAAAGTCGAGAAAACTTTCCGAACAGCGATTATCACTGATGAGCACGAAAATATATGTAGGTCATGACTCACAGAGACCACATGCATAGTAGGATATATTATGCTTCACCAGGGCAGCGTGGAGAGGGTATCTGGTCGAACGCCAGTCCTGTATGGCACGTATGAGTGTGAGGGAGACTAGTGCTGGGAGAGTCGGTCAGTGCGCGTCTATGATATATGCCAGTCCTCGGCGACATGTACCTAGTTGAAATACAAGTAAGAGAATAAACGGCAGGTACAGTTTGGCACTGCTGGAGGTCCGGTAGCCGCCTACGATGCCTGGGATACCTGAAATATTGCTACTCGTAACTATGAGAATGGAGTGAATATATACGAATACTAGCAGAGGAAGATGAGAACACTAACAATATTGAGAAGTGGGGATAGTGGTAAACCAAATGCCAATAAATGATGCGATGGTAACCTGACCGAGTTAGCGATCACGAGTTTGAGTGTGGTCAGAGCATGAAACTCACAAAAAGGGTCGACAACATGGCTACGAGCACAGTTCTATTGTTACCCCAGAGCGCATATGTTCTGAGTACAAAAAAGCCTGGATGAATTGGATCAGGAGCACGCTTGTGTCGCGAGGAAGGAACAATACATTCAGAGCAAGTGAGTGATATCACTGCAAAACCTGTGGTAGAAAGAACACGTTCGGTAAGAACGTGTGTGTAGCATGTACCATATACGTACATGAGTAAATATTGATGATAATCTTGCATTCCTGGCGGTCACACAATAAGTGTCGTCATCAGTGGAAGCCTGCTGCACGTTTACAAACCTTGGGGGTCTCATTCGGGAAGAAGGTCACTGAAACATAGCATGTCAGTTCAGTATCAGGTGATGGGTGCTGGAAACGAACGCACGACATATGTCTGCAGCAATAAGGAAAAAGGGTATATATCGTGCAATGATATAGAGGCATTTTACCTTGGTCCAGCGTGACCGAAGGAGGAATGTCCACTTCGAAAAGTATATTTTCAATATTTGAAGCGAGGCATACCACACATCACGTACCTCATCGTGAAGTGAACAAATATAATCATATGTCTAGATTAACAGGTTTGATGGTGAACAGGATTAGCCTGCGATCGAGAAAAACGTACCCAAAGTGTAATCAACGCCACTGAGTCGTCACATCAGAGTCAGGAAGAGAGTATTCAGACAGCACGCACCGCAGACGTACTAGTGGCCACCCATGGTATATCAGCTATCATCATGTCATCATATCAAGGAAGCGACGAACCGCTAAATACCGCAAAGTCCTGGCCACTGCGATATCGTCGGACGAATACTCCATCTACATACGTTTGAGGGATAACTTGAAGATGAGTTTGCCTACAGCATGCACCTTATACTTAGCTGATAGGAACCCAGGCACCCATCAACGTGGAGTGCAAAATACCTGCTATATATGGTTAGGCTGAATCAACATATTCTCAATGTCACTTACATATGAAAAAAAGACGCCGCCAACCCGAAGAGACCTATCTCCACTTTCAGACCTCTCCATGAGTATTTACAAAGGCTCATACCAGAAACAAGAAGGGAAGAACTTGGTCTGAGTTCGGGAGATTGAGGGTAAACGTCATCGTGACTCGGAGAATAAAATACGACCGGGGACTGTGGATGGAATGTGCACATCGAGAAATGATTGCGGATACGTACAATGAACATATCATGATAGGTTGCCAAGTTGCAAAATTTCACTGCCCCCTCAATCTTGAGCTTGATTGTTGAGATGCTCTCTTCCAGGAGGGCCTGGAGTTGCCGTCATAGCTTATCTATAAGGCCTCCCCGGGGCATACAGCATGCACTCAAAAAGTCATCATTGTTCATTAAATCTGATGCATCGCAATTTGGAGCCCACCCTGGATGACACGCGCCTCTCAGCCAACACGATAGCTACGGGCTTGGATCAAACACTAAACTCCCGTGCGCATCGCACTGAACCTAGTTTCTCTCGAAAACAACACCGTCCCAGGCCAGTGGCAGGCATGACGGTCGGGTTTCTCCGCGTATGATCATATCAGGTAGTTGACCGTTGTTCACAGGATTCTTGTATTTGATAATGACTCGCGCTGCCAGACACTTGTTTGTTGAATGGTATGTCGCCCAGCATATCTCAGGGTAATCGCCGGAGATTGATCCTGTAACAATCTGTTTGCTTAGCATCCGGGTCAGCTCTATGATACCGAGATTGAATGGTGCGCATCATGATCATGTAGTGGTAAGCAGTGACATGGATCGTGTACTTGTCAAGTCAACGATTTTTGAACCTCCGCTCGCCAAGGACCATATATCACGTGACGTATAAAGGTTGATAAATCGCTAAGTTTACAAGCTTGTTGGGGTCGTTTCTTTGCTCCAATATCCTCTCCTTCAAGCTCCAAGCATCGATAATATGGTTCAATTCTGTGGTCATCTAATAGGAAAAGGCTGGCTGCTTCAATACGCCATTTCTCTAGGTTTCGAGCGCCCCACACGCCGACGGAGGCAAGATATTCGGCTCTGAAGGAGTTACTGCAAAAGGATGACCACCTCGTTGATAGATCTTGCGCTGTCTCAGCAAACCATCCATCATGACATTGCAGTGGAGGTAGCTGATGTACCCTCCCCACAGAAACCCAATGTTGCGCACATACTATATCCATTTCAGATGATAGATTCCTACACACGTACATGTGTTAAAGTATTGTATTAAATTCATGAACTATCTATAAACAGATTTGCAGTGTGGGCTCTGCAATATCGGGGTATTGATCGCGTTAAGTCCAAACCTCACTCTGCAACCAACACCGAACAAGTCACGCGATAAGACGTTACACTAGTGACATGGGTGATATGGGAGACATGGGAATGGACACGAAAACATCGTGCGTATTATTGTCAATATGCCAGAGATGGAGGTGCATCCGCGTGGCGAGGATTGAAAGTATAAAGACCTCGAAACTGTATATATTTGAGGTATTGTCAGTAAAACACCACAACAGAAAATGAAGTGCATACTCTTCAAGGAAGGAGTGGTATGGGGACTAGGAGTGTAAAACATCGGTGATTCCATTACATTGAAAAGTAATTGCAGGTTTACGCACATCGGGAAATATTACTGGCACAAGGAAGTTCAAGGCCGAGAAAACTTTTCGGACAATGATTATCACCGATGAGCATGGACACAAATGACTTACGCAGACCGCATGCATAGTAGAATATATTATGCTTCACTAGGGTAGCATAGAGAGAGTATCTGGTCGACTGCCAGTTCCGCATAGCACGTATGAGTGTAAGGGAGACTAGTCCTGGGGAGAGCATCAGTCAGTGCGTGCTTATAATGTATCTCGGTTCCCGGCGACATGTACCCAGTTGAAACACGAACAAGAGAATGAACGGCAGGTATAATTTGACATTGCTCGAAGTCCGGTAGCAGCCTACGATGCCTGGGATGCCTGAGATCTCGCTAGTCGAAACTGTGAGAGTGGAATGAATATGTGCAAACAGTGATTGGGGAAGGAGAGAGCACGAACAATATCGGGAAGTGGCAACAGCCCTAAACCAAATAGCGGTGAATGATACAATGATAGCCTGGCGGAGTCAACGATCATGGACTTGAGTGTGCTCAGGGCACGAAACTCACAAAAAAAGTCGACAGCATGGCTACGAGTACGATTCTATTGCCACTCCAGAGTGCATATGTTCTGAGTACAAAAAAGCCTGAATGAGTTAGATCAGGAGCACATTTGTGTCGCGAGGAAGGAGAAATACATTCAGAGCAAGTGAGTGATATCACTGCAAAACCTATGAGTGGAAAGTAACGCTCGTAAGAACGTGTATGTAGCATGTACCATACACGTACATGAGTAGATATTGATGAACATCTTGCATGTCTGGCCAGGCACGCAGTAAGTGTCGTCATTAGTGGAATCCTAACTGCACATTTACAAACCTTTGGGTCCTCATTCGGGGTCAAGGTCACTGAAACATAGTATGTCAGTTCAGTATCGGTGATGGGTGCTGGGAACGAACGCACGACATATGTCTGCAGCAATAAGGAAAAAGGGCACGTATCGTGCAATGATATAGAGGCATTTTACCTTGGTCCAGCGTGACCGAAGCAGGAATGTCCACTTCGAAAAGTATATTTTCAATATTTAAAGCGAGGCATACCACACATTACGTACCTCATCGTGAAGCGAACATATATAATCATAGGACTGGATTAACAGGTTTGAGGATGGACAAGACTAGATCAGGACAAGCGTACCCAGAATGCAATGAGTGCCGCTGAGCCGTCACGTCAGAGTCAGGAATAAGGTATTCAGACAGCAACGCACTGCATATGTACTAGTGGCCACCCATGGTATATCAGCTATCATCTCGCGATCATGTTAAGGAATCGACGAACTGCCAAGTACTGCAGAATCCTGGCTGCTGCGATGTCCTCAGCCGAATAATCCATCTACATTCGTCGGAGAGGTAAGTTAGAAAGATGGGATTTGCATCCACAGCATGCACCTTGTTATCTCTTATGCATGACTCGGAGCTAGCCAGGGTGGCACTGTTCAGAAGCGCAAACCACATCTACTATATATGGTTAGATCAATCACCTTGGAATTCGTGCAAGCCCTTAAAACACGCATTGGAAAAGCCAGCGCCACTTTCAAACCTCTATGAGAACTTGCATAGGCTCATACAAAGAACTAGCAGAAAAGAACTCAGGCCTGGTTCGAAAGATATATCACTGTAAGCTGGAGAAGGTTATTAGAAAGGCTGAAACGTTCGGGTAATAAAAGACGACCGTTAATGAAAACATGCACATCAAGAAGTCGAAATGAGTCAAAAAGATACGTACAACGGATGTCGTGATAAGCCGCCAAGTCCCCCCCCCCAGCTCCTATTGTCCAAATCGGAGGCATCTCTTACTAGAGCTGGCATGCATTGGAGCCTCCGGAGTTCAAGGACATCTTCGGCGATACTGCGCGCACCGTGACACCGGAGAAAACGGAGAACTGTTTTGTATGCGGTGAATTAGGTGCTTATTGATGCAGAACGTTCAAGTTACGAGTAGCTGAGCATGTTGTTAGAAATACCGCGTAGGTTATCAAATGGATCCCTCTAATGTTGAATCGACTGCTGGTCTGACCGTGACATGGTTTCTAAGTTCTGGATGCGCGGCAATACAGGTTGATGTGGACCGTTGTGCACAGGATAGTGACTTGCCAAGTTGCGGTTACAAGATTTGGAATTTCGAAAGTCGGAATCCGCCGAACACATGACCGCGTCGGGCATACATTGTGACATCAACTCCGCCGTGAGTGGCAAGCACTGCAACATGGGCTGTGCACTCGGAATCACACAGGAGAAGCGCGTTTAAAGTCCCACTTGCATAGCTACATATATATCCCTAGACGCCCGTAGAAGCAAACCTCCGCACCGCCACGTCCAACAATCCAACCCATCCCTATCTGTAAAGAGTCCCTACTATGACCGTACAAACGCCCCGCACAACATCCCAGGTTCCGCTGGGCCCTCCACCACTTTCTTAGATCTCGCATGTACGAAAGTGAGGGTTTCCGCAGAGAAGTTGCCGTCGTCGTCGTCCACAAGTTATCCTTGATCATAATCATTGGAACGTTTGAATACTCACAATGACAATACCTCAGAGCCGTTCGCGCGCCGGTCTACGTGCCAGAGATAGAGGTGCATGCACGTGGCGCGGATTGCAAGGATTAAGACCTTCAAACTATATATATATGTGTGTTTGGGGGTGTTGTTAGTAGGACATAAGTTAGAGATGACATACCCTTCGACGGGGAGGAAGGAGGACACGAACTGGGTGTGCGCAGTATCAATGATTCAATCATCATGCTGAAGAGGACTATGTATGCACATAGTCGTGTAGCTTTGGCACAAGGACGTTCACGGTCGAGAATCGAGAGCTTTCGAAAAGTTAATCATGGCCGATAAGCACGGAAAAGATAAGCACGGACGCCTATGCATATGTAAGTTAGGCATGCATAGTAGAATATGCTATGATTCGGCAGGGCTGCATACAGAAGGCCCTTGGTCGACTGCCAACTCTGTATGACACGCACGACTCGTACTACTAGTTGTCTTCAAATTGTCGTGCCGTTACTGTGAGCGAGGTGTTATAGTTGCTGAACTTGAACAGTAAATGAACTATGAATTTTCAGATCCCGAGACACTCGAAAACATGAGCAGCAGGGGGCGAATAGCTATAAGAAATTGAGCATTTAGTGTCTAGTGATGAAAGTGATGAACAACACACGTATTAAACCGCGTAAATGATTATGTTGGTAGTGGCGGGTTTGAGAGACGATGTCGAATGAACATTGAAGTCGCTTTTTACGTATTTTCAATTAAGTTAGTATTGAGTATTCAAATCACAAATTCAAAGGTGCATACATCTCCTATTCAGCAGAAGAATTCTCTAGATTGCAGGAACAACTACATTGACAAGGTCAGCAACGAACTATGTATTGTGCCGTCAGCACAGAACCAATGCGAAAACAGAAACAGAAACACGACTCACTGTCCAGATGTGCTTATGGACAAGTTGCCTGCTCATCGGTAAGCAACCTCAGTAGCAGCGTGGTTGAGTGCCATGCTGTTGACATCGCAAGGTGCAAGGGCCGGGTGCGAAATAAATTACTCATAGTCACAATTATCGCAACACAGCGATCAGTGCAGCATGCATTGTTGCTGTTGCAGGTCGTTGATGAGGACTTGCTGGCGCCTGAGTCGGTCTGTGCAGCGACAGACATACATGCTGCCAAGGCAGTAACGATGACATGGAAGGAGAAATGCATGATTTATGCGAAGTGATACGGACCTGAACTGCTGGGCAGATGGGGCTTGCTTCCATACTCTGAAAATATTATTGTGAGCAATACTTGCGAGTTCTACTGCTTTGGCAGATTGGTTGCGCCTGGACGGCAGAACTTCACAGCGAATGGTTTAGGATGAATATATTGGAGCCCCAGAATCAAAACCTGCCATGTATGTATATATCTGCACTCGCTTCATCGTCGGCCACGTCACCCCAAAGAAATGAAAGCCCGAGCATCCGGTCTATATCGTTCATGATATTGTTTAATACCATATGTAGAAAAACTAGGCGAGAATGACTCACGTGCTAGTAGAGGCCTCGCGAAGAAAGGTACAAGACAGTGGGGCTTAGTGAAAACCGGCTCCAGCTCGTTCGTCGTTGTCCCCTCCTGGTCGCGCTTCTCCGCTGTCTTTCATCTAGAACGACGTTCGCGATAAGTTCTGAGCAATGAAGTTTGAGGGTCGACAGTCCACGGACAACTGCCACATTCACAAAGGCCAGAATTTACTTCTGCACATCGACGCCACTCGCATGATCGGAAAAAGGGCCTGGTTTCACTTTAACTCGCAATTGGAGTGAAGGTGTGGCAAAAGTCGGCGTTAATCAAGAATATTGTAAGAGAAGGGAGGTTCAAAACTGAGAAGCTAGAAATGACGGGCAACATATGGTAGTAGTCGTGCTCGAACCGGTCCCTGACGAAGTACGCTTGAAGTTGCGCTTGCTTCGGATACTTGCACATTTGGGCGTCGGGACGATAACATACAACCTTCGTTGTCGGACCTGTCGAACATCGTACTTGAAGAGATTGTGTCGGAAACGCGGAAGGATTTTTCACTGGGTCACGATTCGTCGAAAGCCCGAGTGAAGGGTGTCGGCTTGTCTAGACCCAGAGTGGTACCCATGACTGACTGATGTAATAGCATCAGAAATATCTCTGGATCATCATCGGCGACTCGGACCGACATTGTGAACTGTGAGCTGGTCGATCATGCGACTCGGAGGCACTAGTATAGGGATGCGCGCGCCGCAGACTGCCTGGTGGGGTCAGCATTGCCGCACCTAACTTTGAGTGGGAATCCGGCGCACCATGGTACTAAGCTAGTGGTGATCAAACAAAAGACCAAGGCGTCCCGGTATTGCTCAGCATGCCCGATTTGTACTTGTGTTTCACAAGGTCGACTGGCTCAGTCGCGGTGTTATGTTTACCAAGCTTTTGATGTATTAAAGATTGACACATGAAGAATCCGTGTCTGCTCTAGTCCCATCGTCATCGTGCTGCTCGTTGTCACTGTCGTCGTTATCATCGGCATCGTCGACGCCGTCGTAGTTGCTCACGCGTTCATATCCGAAAACAGCCTCCCTGGGACACCTAGGACTGTAACGCCTCTACGCAGCAAGCTCTCACCACTATGTCCAACTCACCCCCACCCGTAAAAAATCCCTACGACCCTACAAACGCTCTTGATGACATCCCAGGTCTTCACTGGGCCCTTCATGAGTTCCTTCAATCTCGCATGCACGAAAGCGAAGAATTTTGCGAGCAAAGCGATCCCTGAAAAGTACGCATATCTGTCTTCATCGCTTTCACAACGGAAGCTGAGATCAATGCAGACAGAGATTGTACTTCGCAACTGGATTTGGGCTTATTCAATGTGTGAAGGGTCTTATGTCTTTTGAGGATAAGGTTCACGTGTTTTGCTGCTGCTAGTACTCATACAACGCTAATTCGTAATTTGGACTTTAGGATCTCTTGGCCGCTATCAACCACACCAAGCGCGGTATAGCTATCGCTTCTGCACATCGCAAACGCCCTGGCAGCTTCGCAGGTCGTCTTGCAGGCTACATCGTTCCCTCACTCAGTACTAGCGGTACAGAATGGATCGCAGGTATGACTCCCGTAGAGCGTCATGCGGAACTCGTCTATGCAGAGAGTCTCTATCAAAAGGTGCGTCGGCTAGCAAGACCGTGTGTTTTGGGTGGTGTACGCGTTTTTGGGGGGCTAGCTGATGCTGCAATAGAGTCTTCTTGGGATAGTCTATTCAGGCGATTGGTTGGCGTTTATTCGGGAAGTGTATGTACTCCGTCCTTCACCCCTTTTTTCTCGCTAATACCTAAGTACCGCAAAATGCCCAGACTCAACATGCGTACCACTATCTCCATATATCGTCAACTCGGTAAATGGATCGAGACAGTCGACGCGGCATACGGTCTCGCCCACCCCGAACTACTAGCTGCTATCTCAACACCCAATCCCACACCAGAAACAGAAGCAAATGTCGAAGAGACGCCACCACAATCAAGCACCACGAGCTTTGCAAGCGCTAACTCATCCTCCGTCGCACATTCACCTCTCCCTTCCCCCAAACATGCATCTACACAAGACCTCACATCCCCACCATCCAACTCACCAGAATACCCCACACACCCATACCTCCCCTCCCCATCCATAGACCCTCATTTCCGCTCTGGCGTATACCTAGGTCTCGGCATGTCCCATCTCGTGCTCAGTATGATGCCAGGAAAACTCCTCGCGCTGGTGGAGTTATTTGGATATAAGGGCGATAGAAAGTTTGGGTTGGAATTGTTGGAGAGGGCTGGGGGATGGAGTGCGAATGGGAAAGTGGTCGAGAGGGGTGAGTGATTCCGGTCCCTGATCGTGTTTTGGAATTGTGAGCAAGAAGTACTAATACACTCACTCACAGAAGCAGAAGGCGTCCGACGTGCGATCTGCGATATGTCACTACTCATCTTCCACCTCGTCCTCTCGGCATTTACGTTCGAAGGCGTCGACGTGCGCAAGGCTGCGAAAATATTGGAGTGGAATCTGAAGAGATATCCAAATGGTGTGTGTTCTGTTTTGAGAGGTTTTGTGTTCTGATGGGTGGTTGTGTTTTCTCTCTCCCTCCCTTTCTATTCCCCCCTTCACCACCCGATACTCCGACACCCTCTTCAATCCCCTACCAACATCGAACAGGCGTCTTCTTCCTCTTTGGCGCAGGCCGCCTCGCCCTCGTCCGTTCCCAACCCTCAAAAGCCCTCACCTACTACGTACGCGCTGCCCAAGCTCAAACACAGTATCGGAATTTACACCATATTTCATGGTGGGAGAGTGCGGTTGCTTGTTTGGGGCTTTGGAGGTTCGTGTTTTTGTATGTTGTTGCGGGGGTGTAGTACAGGGTGGTGCAAGACGGGTGATGGGTATATGCGCGATACTGATGCTGGTCTTATGTAGAGTCGCGGAAAGTAGATCATGGTGGGGAAAACTTGGAGGCGAGGCTACAGTGGGTTTCTATTTGTTCTCTTTCGTTTCCGTGTTCATTTTCCTCTCATCCCTCCTTTATCGCCACCTCGATGCACTTAGTGGTCTAAAGCGACATACACGTACGGCGAAGCAGCGTGCTTAGCCACGCTTGGCGAGCACGCAGAAGCGAAGAAACTCATGGAGCGCGTCCAGGGGCTGAGGCAGAAAATCGCGGGGAAGAGCATTCCTGTCGAGGTACATTTTCCCCACCTTTTTTCTCATATATTCACATCTCTTACATCTCGCCATCCACCCCAAAACCTCACCAAAAAACAACCTAACGCTAACCAAATACACAGAAATTTGTCGCACGCAAAGCTCGTAAATACCTAGCTCAATCCGACAGACTTCTTCTCCCAGCCCTAGAGCTAGCCTATGTATTCCATGCGATTGCGCATGCTCCCAGGGAGGTTATTGCGAGGCAGATGATTCCTGCTGTTGGTGATGCTTTGAGGGAGCTGGGTTTAGAGCTTTCGTCTGGGAGCGAAGATTTGGTTTCATCTGGGTCTGGAAGGAGTCAGGGCGGTGCCAAGGCAGGTGAGGCCAAGAAAGGCAAAGACAAGAAGGTGGAATCGCGGAGTGGGTATTGGGATGATGTCTGTCTTGCGCGTTTCTTGGAGGGCGTGTGTTGGCGATTTGTTGCGTATCCGGTGCGTTTACTTTTTTTAGCGCCGACTTTTACGTTTGCATCAGCCTGTTCGGGAGATCAGTCTAGCCCCGCTGACACATGTCCCTCTTGTTGCAGGACCCGGACGCTGATCTCGAGCCTGATGAAAATATTCCTTTCTCACCGGAGAACGCGCGTACATGCTCGGAGCGCGCGTTCCGCGCTGTCTTTGAGCACGGACCTGACATCGAGTTGGACCATTATATTGTGTATTACGCACGTGCGTCGCTTTTGTTTTGTCATTCGTTGAGAGTTTGCCGACTCTTTTCTCATAGATTTCGAGTACGGGAGGCTGCTAGCGCGAACCGGCAATAAGGATGGTGCAAGGATGCAGTTCGATCTTGTTCTGTCGGGAAAGCCGCTTGAGGTAAATGCTGCGGGACGAAAGGTACGTTGACAATGACGTATACGTTTCGTCGATGATGCCGTTCAATCATGTCGCTAATGGATGTCACCTTTCCAGGGTAAATACAGTTTAGAGGTGCGAAATACGTTTTGCAGACAGGAGCGAACAAGTATGACTAACTCTTACGCTCTTATTATTGCAGAACGCACTTCACGTGAGGACGAATGCGGCGCTAGAAGCACTAGACCAGAACCGACTGTTGTGATACCTCCGGCAACGGACCCAGATTCAAGGGATATCTATTAGTATATCTATCGAGACGTGCTGTCTTTTCGTATGTGTTTGTTTTGCTTGCTTGCTATTGGGCGATACCTGCATACCTACTTACATATCATTTGTTGTGCCCTGATGTCTGACTGAGCTGGATGCAAACTATTACTCTGTATTCTACCTTTGAACTCTGGTGAGCCTCCATATATCTTGTAATTATATTAATCACTCTGAGCTCCTTCAAACGATATATGTATACACAAAAGATCCTTCAGAGTCATGCAGAGGTTAAGCGCCGAGACAGAAATTGACAGAGGAGAGGACCTAGAATTCCTGTACTGAATACACTAGAACTGAGGGAGAGGTGCCGATTCCTGAACGTTCAAGCCGCTCGGCGTGTGCCGTGCCGACCATGCCCAGTGACTGCAGCCTGACTTCACATGGGTTAGCTCTATATGGAGCTCCGACGCAGATTTGCTGGTAAGCTCTAAATACAAGTTCTCCACAACTCACATCATCTCAGATCTCAGTGTCTTGTTATTAATGCTATTGGCCGTGAGGCCCGTAGCCTACGATTAGTACATCGTATCTTCCCTCACTAAATTCTGCATGAACATTCTAGGGTCCTCGATTACCACGCCAAACAACTACGTCCACTTTAAACTTTGGATTGCCTCATTTCTGGGTGAAGATCCGGACTTGTATTCATTATCTGACTATCACAGGCAGTCTGGCTGCCCACGCATATAATGTTCAGGAGAGCACTCTTACTAATATCTCATCGCTCACTATACGATCTCTTACTCTTCCTCAGCTATCCGCATGCTCATATTCACCAGTGTTACTTGGCTGGACCTATGTCTGGCTAGCGCCGCAGTCTATCTGGTCAAGCAGTTATCCGGCAAGAAGAACCCCGCACCATATCCCCCTGGACCTCCGGGGTGGCCTCTCGTTGGGAACATCGCAGACATACCTCACAACAAGGCCTGGCTCACCTTGGCAAAGTGGGGCAAAAAATATGGCGAGTGCCTCATGTTTCTCAGCACGATTTATTTTAATCACATGCTGTACAGGTGACATCTTGCATGTCAAAGTTCCGGGTCGGCACATCATTGTACTGAATTCTGTCAAGGCAGCGATGGAATTGCTAGACAAAAAAAGCTCTATCTACTCTGACCGTCCAGTTTTTGCAATGGGTGGTGAACTTGTTGGCTGGAAGGACGGTTTGGCTTTTCTCTCTTATGGTGACCGTTTTCGCTATTACCGCAAGAACATCCACCGCGTCATTGGCAGTCGCACTGCTGTGAATGTCTACGAACCAAGTGAGGAGATCGAGGTTCGCCGATTTCTGAAGCGCGTGTTTGCACAACCTGAGCAACTGGACGCACATATCCGACAGTATGTAGTATTTGTCATTGCACGAATGAGGTCTTGATTTTTTTTCCAGCACTGCTGGCGCTATCATTCTGCGAATCTCTTATGGATATGAAGTGAAGGATAACAATGATCCTTTCGTCGATCTTGTAGGCCGTGCAATGCACCAATTCTCGCAGGCTAACGATCCTAGTGCCTTTATGGTTAACATCATGCCATGGTGTAAGACTGCAGCGTTCTGACATTTGCGGTGAGCTGAATATCTCTAGTGGCCAATGTTCCCGAGTGGTTTCCTGGTGCTGGATTCAAGTCCCTGGCCCGTGAATGGCGCCAGACCCTCAAAGAGACTGTTGATGCACCATACAAATTCGCCAAGGATCAGATAGTAATATCATCATCTACAATTTGATGATCACGGGTTGAACATACTACAGGGTGCCGGAATTGCCCCAATGTCTTACATCTCGAATCTGTTGAAAGGTCGTACTTTGTCTGCGGAGGAGGATCACATGGTGAAATGGTCTGCTCTATCCCTATACGCCGGTGGTGCCGACACGGTTAGCTCCTCCCAGACTAATCAGCATATTTTCAAACTAACATCTGTTTCCACAGACAGTTTCTACAATTTATTCGATTTTCCTGGCGATGACACTGTACCCTGATGTGCAGAAGAAGGCTCAGGCTGAAATAGATGCTGTTGTTGGCACTGATCGTCTTCCCTCCTTCGCAGACCGCGACTCCCTCCCCTACATTGAGGCCCTTGTGAAGGAATCACTGCGCTGGAATGTTGTCGCCCCTACAGGTATGCGTTTATTGTGTTATTTTCATTGCAGAGCAGTACCAATCACCTAAAGACAGGTATCGTCCACTGCGTCTCTGAGGACGATATCTATGATGGGTACTACATTCCGAAAGGATCTATGATCATGCCTAACATCTGGTTAGTGCTCGCATTTATGTATATTCGACATGATAGAATTCCATGCCAGGTCCATGCTCAATGACCCGCAGACATATGCTAATCCCTCCCAATTCAACCCTGAACGTTTCTTAGATAATGATGGAAGGGGTCCCGAGCGCGAGCCTCGTACGATTAGCTTTGGCTTTGGTAGACGGTACGCATGGAGTTAATTTTGAGTGGAATGCTAACTTTCTGCTCCGCAGGATCTGCCCAGGTATGTCCACTCACAGAAGTACTCTCAAGAAAACAGTATCGTGATGTTTGCTTGCTTTTGATGTGCAGGTATCCACCTTGCTGACGCTTCCATCTGGATATCTGCTGTGATGTCGCTCGCCGTGTTCGATATTTCCAAGATCGTCGAGAACGGCGTTGAGCAAACCCCCGAGGTTGACTTCTCATCAGGCTTGGTCAGGTATGTTGCGCATCCTATCGCGTTCGTAGTGCTTGTTTGAATAGACGTACTCTCAGTCACCCCGAACCCTTCAAGTGCTCTATCAAGCCTCGCTCTGCGAAAGCTATTGAGCTCATTCAGCAGGATGTTAACTATTAAAGGCATGAAAATGATTCTTGTTATTTAATTATGTCATGCATCCCGAGTCATGCATATCTTCTCATCGTGCTGAATCAATGTTACTTATGTCAATGGACACCCATAATGCGCGTGGCAGGTACTTCGACAACACAAGGATGCATTGTCTGTTGTGAGAGTTCGAGTTCATCGTTGGTGCGGGGTTGAGAGCGAAAAAGTGAGCACAGCTGGCCGACATCTCGCGACTAGGAAACAAGATTAATGATGTACCGAAAGGCATAACAAAATCACTGGAAGCAAAGATATAGTTGTGCATATGCTGCAATGCTAGCTCTAACTGTATCGATGACCACGAGTTTGTGGTGGAGATGCACAGCAGAGAAATAGTACGATCAGAGCCTACCAGGGAATGGATGGTGGTTGTGTGGGTGTTGTACCTGGAGCAGAAGATGTCGCGGATGTCGAGGCATAGGCAGGCTGAGTCTGTAAATGACGACTGCTGGGCTTGGCCGTGCAACCGTGTTTGTTGCTCAGTTTTGCTTTCATAAAGTTTGGCTCCGAGCAACAACCAAAGGCTGGACAGAAATCATTAAAGCACGGCGAGGGTAAAGGTACTCAGGAGAGATATACCTTCTTGTCCCGCACTGCAGCCACTTCGACAACACGAGGACTGCTTTGGGCGTTGTGAGAGTCGCGAACTAAAAGGGGTTGTGAGATGAGGTTCGGCTTCTTCGTCAGCGCCGAGTCGAGATCGAGGCAGGAATGAGGAAAGAGTAGACGGTAGCACACGCAAATGTGACCGCAAAGGTGTGGAGAGTTGCTGGAGTTCGTCTGGTGCAACATGTTGGGGTCGAAAGCGACGAAGGAGTGAAGAAAGGCGTACAAGGAGTGCATATAGATGGAATGCCGAAGGCCTTGAGGGTTGCGAAGGGTCTGTCGCGTCACTACTACTTCGGGTCGAACACGGTGGATGAGTGAAGAAAGGCGAGAGAGGAGCGCTTTGACAGAGGAATGGGGGGTGTGCACCCCTTGAGGACTGAGAGCAGAGGTAGAAGTCTAGATAAGAACTAAACAATAAAAATGCTAATTACGCACATTAACGTCGGCTTCCATGCTGGCAGAAAAATGTCGGTGAAAGCCCATTGAAACCATCAAACTAGTCATGACAACGTGTAGCGTCAGCCTAGAATGATACTGTTATGATGAATGAGAAGATTTGTAAACATGGCACGTACTTCCAAAAACGACTTGCCATCGAGCGAAGAGCGGGGTGTATGCTTAACTGCTGAATCATCTTGAGATGCCTTCTGTTTGAGTTTGTCTTTTGGTGCCTATCGGCAGACATTGTCAGTGAGAAAGAGCGGGCGGGTGATATGTCGACACTCAGTGGCACAAGATTGGTACCAATAGACAGTAAGTCTTTTAGGCCAACTAGTCCCATGCATGTGCGTTGCAGTTCTTGCAACCAGTGACTAGCACTTTTCCATCAAGGGAAAGGGCTGCAGAGTGCAAATCATTGACATATTCATGCTGGAGGGCTGGACCGACTTGGAGGTTGGTGTCAAGATTCCATCATCTAAAACCAAAAGCCGAAAATGAACCTTGGAGTACTAGATGGTTACCAGAGTTCGCGTTTTTTTTTTGCAACAACAACAGCTCCTCAATGTCTGGGCCAAAATAAAAATTCTTTCACCGTTGGATAGCCTGATGTCGAAAGTACAATGCCTGTCAGTTTTATTCTCGATATTTGAAGATTTGGGTCCAGCGGAGAGTTACCGTGTAAGGTAGACCTCAAACAGTTCCATCAAATGTCATGTGATCGTGACCGACTGTGACAGTTGAAGGATAAGCTAGGATAAGGTCAATGCCGAGTTGCCGAAAGAGCTATGCTAATGAGCACAATTATGTGTGACTAGTACAGGTAGGAATATAGTGGAAATGTGATTAAGTAGTAGGAATTGAATAGATAAAGTTATGTGCAATGACCAGTTGAGAAGTGTAATTGTGCAACTCACATTTTCATTATCTTTGACATGGTGAATCTTTTGTTGCTTCTTTGCTCAAGCTTTCTCTAAATTGCCACTCCATGTTTTTCAAAGGCGCTTGAACTGTGATGGATTCTTGAAGGCCATAGAACCTTAGCGCAGTGACACACTGTCAGTAATATACTTAGTTGTCAGCAGACTGTTTGTCATGTCTTGCTGCTTCGGCTGTAAGCCAGTTAACACCCAAAATACCAGAACATCATCATCTGAGCTTGTACAATCAAATGGGAAAAGCGAAAAAATTTAATTTTTAATTTCAAGATTTTTCATGTAGCCATTAAGCCTCTTGCTTAGTTGTTGATTAATGGCCGAATTACATGCAATTGTCACGCTTTGTCATGTGACATAGGATGGAACTGCTTGAGGTCTACCTTAGCAGTGTAGGATTGTCTCAAGGGTTCGCATTTTTGTCACACTATGTCACACCCTGCTGTCGAACCATTTCATGCTCCACATGACTTAGACTCCTGACCAGCCCGTCTAATGAGGCAAACCATTGATAGATGGAGTCACTGGTAAAACTGGGTTTGAATTTGGAGGTTGAGCAGATTCTCAGGATAACGTGACATATAAGCCTTTTCAAGGATATCAAAGAACATGTGAACTTTTGCTAAGCCTTGCAAAGTCTAAGTCTTGTCTTATCAACGTTCAACTCATTGCGCTAGCTGCTTAACGGCCCCATCGTTCGTCACTGTTGTCTCATGTAACAAATACTACTTGCCCTTGTGCTATATGTTATGACCTCTTCAATTCTAAACTGTAACTTTAAATGTTCTGTGGACTCTGGGTTTGTGGACATCACAGGTGATCCTCCATCGAGCACCTCTTTCACGGATCCCACAATTATGCCCTCCTCTCGCCTGTCATCAATGGAGTGCATCAAATCTGCCATCAAAATCCTCCGAGATGGCCGTATTAGCATCCTTGACTTCATGCTAAAAATTCTCGATCCATCAGAGGCTTGTTTTGCATATAATTATGGCATATAATTGTGACCGCATATTCAACTGCTCTTGGCAGGAAAAGATGAGTGTAGATGTTGGGAAACCTACCGTGGGAAAGCTTGAGAAGATGTTTGATTGCTTGTTTGCAGATTCGCGTGGTTGCTGTAGTGATGGTTGTAGCGTTGGGCTTGAAACCACATATTTTCATACTCGCCCGAGACATATGCGCACATGTCTGACGCACTTCTGCACATGTCCGAGCCACTCCATATCGAATATGGCACATTGGACCTTCGGACATCGCATCGGCCGATCGCACTTGTCCATCCCGTGTCCTGTCCATCCAAACTAGCCTCACTAGGTGCGTAGTTATTCCTGTGCACGTCTTCTGACATTTGGACCGCGTTATTACATGTCTGCAGCACCTCATGTCTTATTACATAGGACATTGGACCCAAAATATATTGCTACTATCTTCGCCTGTAGTATTCCGAATTTCTACATACTTACTTAAATACTCTGTAGTGACCCGTAGCAATGATCATCCAGTAGTTAGGAGCCATTTCCCGACTCTGCGGATCACCCAGAATATTCTCGTAGTTCTTAGTTGCATTGCGAAATATTACCATTCATTCACTGTCATACTCTGTCACTCGTTATACTCACGCATACCGCTCGCAATCCAACACTCATTATAAAGTTTCCGACCTATTATTGTGAAGTCCGAAAGTCCGAAATATCAGACATTGCACTTTGGCTTCAGACATTGGAAAAGTACCTTCGGACATCATCGTATTACCTTCGGACATTGTTTTGCAGTATCGGACATTTTGTTATTTGCATTACTGATGCATTTTTACTACTAAAACCAATTAGCAATCCCTTTAGGATCAAATGCACTTGCTCTGCAAGTATAGCAGCATAGGTCGTGCTAAGATCTACCTAAACATTGTTGACTAGATAGTACAATTTCTGCTGAGCCCAGCGGAGATTTACTCTTTACAGCAGAATCCACAGAGAGAGCCAATGCCTTGATATCCTTCAGAAACTTATTCACATCCGGTTGCTGGTCTGCCAATGTATGTACAACCATCACTGCAAGTACATCTTGAAGCAATTTTGGGATGACAGCGGAGCACCTGCTAAGGAAGGATATGTTGATAAAAGGTGATACAAAGGTCTATATGCCAGGCAAAATATTTGAGTGTAAGGGAACATGAGGATGACCGGACTACCGGTGAATCAGACACTTACCTCCATTTCCCATTTCATGAGTGTGTGGAATGTTTCTGCATATCCAGGCATTGCAGTGGCAAAGCTCTTGTCCACATACAGGTGAATGGTCAACAAGTGACAATTGGCATAGAATAAAGCATGAGAAATCTCTTCAGCAGTGATCTCACCATCTGAGTAGGCCACAATGACTTGGTCAGAGCCAACCAAAGTTCTGGTGGTGTTCATGGAGAGTGAATGAGGATAATGTTGTTGTTAGAGAATGGGAAAGTGGGATTGTTTGCACACATCCAAATAAATACATATTAGCTAACCTGGGAGCGATCCAACTGGTACTCTAAACTAACCAGTGTAAAGAGTAGATCTGGATGGTATGGTAACTCGCGAGGTTCGGACAGGCCTCGGAATGCAAGAACTGCCTGTGGAAGGTTCGGACAAGTGCACACGGCCTTCGGAAGGTCAAGGGAGGTTGGGGAATGGTATGGATGTAGGTGTTGGATTGCCTGGTTCCGAGCCCAGCACTGCAACCATCGTTACATCGGGTACACATATTCACTCAGCCCACTCCTATATCATGGTACAATTATTACCATGGGCCCATGTGAGATGGCCCTTCCCCATCAGTACATTGTCACGCTCGGCTGCCTGTCTGAGATAGGTGAATTCACTGAATGGGCTCCAAATGCTGGGTGGTTTGTCATATGCTGTCACTTCTAATGCCTGCTGAATCATTCTAATTGCTTATCAGACTAGCAGTATCATATAAAAAAATGTTTTATTGTTTTGTAGTAAATACATGATAGATTACAGAATTGAGAGTAAGGTGCGAGCTCAAGAGAATGACAGAGGCAAGAAGTAACATGACTGGTAGAAATACTGCAGATATGTGACATATTGCAGTAAATGTGCAGGTAGGCAAACCTATACAAGAAAATGTTGTCAGGAAGATAACCAGAAAAAGAAATTGTGCACGCACCAGACACCAGATTACTTCAAATTTCCATCATACATTGTGCCATCCCTTGATCCTGAATTATATATTGGATCCTATCAGTGAATATATGCACCATTAATAGAATCCTACATTACTGCTAATGACTTACTTTGTTGTTTTGAGAGTCTGATATTAGACTATATGGTGCCATGTGCAGTAATTCATATGATGAATGATGAATAATGAGAGAGAGATGTAGATGAGAGACAACAAAGCAGGCAGAATTTTGCAAAGTCTGTTGTTTAGACTTGTTGATGTCAGAGCTTCAAATGCTTCAACAGTCATTGATTGAGCACTTCAAGGGGTGTTTGCCAATGTTTATCAATTTATAGAATGGCAAGGGAATACCATGGAGCTTAGTAATTTTGCATTAGAACTACTATTAAGATACTAGGGGTGTATCCAGGCTGAGAGAAAGAGTAGCATATCCATATCAGAGTACTATCATAATGATAGGAGTATATCATTGAATAGCAGATACATGCAACAATGGTATGCTACTAGCTACTTGACATCATAATGATCAAGTCCTTCTTTGACCTTTGCAACTGTCATCATCCATGATTATAAATATTTGTCAGCATCAGCCCAATCAGGGAATACCTGAGTTTTGAAGTTTTGCTGATGTTATTTCAAGCAGAAGTCGAGAAGATTCAGGATGTCATGTTGCATACTTTCACTGACAGTGCCCACAAGACCTATGGTTCAGGACTGCTTGTTTTTTTACATATTCTGTAATAGCAAACTAATTGCAGAAGACCAATGTGCCCCTGCAAGCTGCATTCTCATATCCTTGTTCATTACAGAAATGGCTGGCCACTATTCTGGAAAGACAGTATCTAATTATGTAGATGATGTTCACATCTGGTACATTTTGCATGGGGTACCCTGGAATCTCAGAGGAGATGCAGAAATTGATACCTTATTCAAAGCCACCATCTTGTTAACCCCGCCCTCATCCAAGAAGCCCAAATGCAACTCCTATGCTATTCCCTTGATCACAGCCATCTGCAAGAATCTCAATCTCAACAGTCCCCTTGATGCAGCCATATTCACATGCCTCTAGTGATGTGCATGGCCCAGCTAGGCCAAATTCATGGCCTGACACGGCTTTTGGCTTGGCCTGAGTTGCTTGAAAGCCCAAGCTGGCGGCCCAGGCCACGGCTTTGTGACTCTGCGAATTTGATCTTCTATGTATCTATGTAGGTTTATTTTTGTCTCTGCTGTTATCTTTTCCAGCTTTGACAACGACGATCATAACACAAGTTATGTTCAAACAACTGGTGAGTCGCCCAACATTACTATTTTCAGTGCTTTACTTTCCTTTGCCAGGCTCCCATATGTTGTAGCCTT